ATTATATTACAATTGTGTCTCGAAAAATGATGAATTGTGTGACTGGCTTTATATACTCTCATTTTCACTCTCCTGTGCGGCTCTTTCTATTTCACCTCCAGAAGAAGAGTCTGCTTGTGTGCGTGTGTGGAGAAGAAGAAAATGAAGACCTCAGATGATCATACCGCAACTTAACGGCTCTCCTATCGCCAAAATTCCACTCCGGTGCCCATGTGAGACAGTGTATATAATTATTTAATTGCTCTTTATGCAAAATGCATGACACAATCACCAGAAAATCGGATGTGATCACGAACTGTGTGACGCGTTTGTACGGTGAAGAAAGGGGGAGAGATGTGTTTTTGCATATATATATATTTCCTACTAAATAGCATGGCATTTTAATTGCTGATACCCCACAATTTTCCACCCAAAAATATCGACATCATTGCAAAATTAATTGCACCACAGTTGAGGATGGAAATTAATTCAATTAACCTTTTCATCATTTTCGGTGCCATTGGGAGGCAATTGCAAAGTCTCCGGCAGCGCTCTTTTATCTTCCTCCCCACCCAATTATTAACTGGAGACAAGAGTACTCACAGACCTTTTGAATCTCAATCAGTGTTTCGCGAAATGATTGGAAATGTTACTGCCAACAATGTATATGAGCATGGATTTCGGACAAAATTTACATAAACATCTGGAATCCAATAAAAAACAAATCCACGGTGTGAATAAAATGAAGTATTTTCTATGGTCCAAATGAATCCGAAGAAAGACTTTTACCAGTAATTATTGTAATTTGTCTTCAGGAGAATACAGAGAAGAGAGGAAGAATAGAGTAAGTATTAGAAGGCGGAGTTTCTGACTTCTAAGGAAGCAAATAGTCTTAGGAATTCTTTAGAAATCACATTAAGCACTGGATGAATATTGAATTTTACTAATCTACTTGAAAATACGTTCAAAGTCACGATGTAGAGAAGTGATAAGCAATCGCGATGCTTGATCAATTGGCCAGGATGAGGGTGAAAAGTTCAATTCTTTCAAATCAATGGAAATTAACACACATTGCTCATTGTTGATCCACAATTGGAGCCCCGATTTGTGTTTGGGATATTTGCCTGGCGAGAATAAACAAAAGATAAAAATCTCCCCGGCACATAATACACCAAATACACACCATATGAGGATTGCATCAATCGTGAATTGAATTGCCTTGCAATATTCATCGCAGTTAGTTAATAATAGCAATTAAAGCAGCAGCAGCATCCAGCTGAAGAAAGACCCAATTGAGGTGGTGGAGAAGAGAAAGAAATATGGAATTCAGTTTGCTTAAGTAATTATTAATTTTTTCCCCTTCTCAGTGGCACAAGAAAATCTGCGAGATGGAGGAAGATTGACCTCATTGGCAAAAGGTATATCTCTCTTTATGCTTCTCTCGCATCAGACGGCTTATTTGTCAATAATATTGAAAATTCACCAAATGATCAATGGCCTATCTCGCAGTGGCAAAAACAGAGATGAAACCTCCTTTTGCACTAACCTTCCCAATTGACTATTTCACAATATATCCATTGGCACAATTAGTATAAAGTACCTTTTTTCATCGGATTTCCTGATCGGGAATTACTTAATAATTACTCTGTGTCGCTGCCACATTGAAATTTCATCTCTGGTGGCATTTATCCGAGGTATTTCGGATGGAGAATGGCCACTTTGACAAAGAGCAAACATCGCAAATTCACCCATAATAGAGTGAATGAAGAAGACACTTAAAGACAGCCTTTTGATCACTCCTCTGATCAAACATGACATTAATATGGCCCCTGAAAGAAACCAATTGAATTGAAATATTGTGAGAGACTTTTGGCGAAAAAATGGCCCGAAGATGGGAGAGATTCTGTGGTGAGCCTTAAAAGGTTCACAGTAGTCGTGATTCTCAGATTAGTTAATTGGTATTGAGGCTTAGGATTAGTGCTGAGTTACAATATGAAGCCATTTACAAATTTGAACACTTGAAGACGAACAATATCGACGAATTCATGGGAGGAATCTCATCTGAACATTGTTGTGAAATCTCATTGATATTGGTGAGGATTTATCTGTTCGACTCCTTCTCATATCTCCACGATGTAATCCCATGACGCGGTACTATTAATCCGGAAAGGCGATCATCAATTACCTAATAAGCCAATCAATATTGGCAAAAGTCTAGCTCTGGGCTGGTCCATGGGTGAAAAAATCCAATCAACATAAATCACTTTACATCATCTCTCTTTTCTTCTCGCATTTCTTCTCTGCCTTCATGTCCTCCTTAGCATTTGGCGGGACCATCATCGTCTTCAGTGTGTCACGAAATCGAAATTGCAATCAAATGATCGCCACCGAGAGAAAAATCCATCATCCTCGGGACTCGGGCTAATCTGCCTGGGTGTTTTTGGAGAGTTTGATGAACTGTGCGGTGATTTGGCCAAAATACAATAATTAAATAATCGACGTTGCGCTGCCATTACCCAACCGGCCTCTCTGGAAGACATGGGATTGTTTGGTGATGAACTTTGTTGATGAGAAATGGCCAAATTTCCACCAAGATCTCTATCTCAAATTTCTTTATAAACGCGAAATACTATTTAAACATCAGCAGAGTTTAAGATAGATGGAATTAATTTATATTTTTGCACATAATAGCCGGGTCGCCCTGGGTGAATTACGATCTCTTCACGCAAAGTGGATCTCTTTTCAGCCAAGTGATCGGCGTCGTGGCCACGGAGGCCAGAACGGGCTAATTAAAATTTGAAATTGCAGATAATTCTACAGATCCGAGGCAGACGATCGCGAAGATCGCGGCCGGTGTGGCGTAAGAGAGCGCCAAGTGAAAGAGATCGAGAGACAATTGAAGTATTTAAATGAATTTGCTGGCTTACGAGCTGGAGCATTGCATGAATATTTCAGTGTTTCTCCCCGACTTGCAGTCAATTAAAAGTCGATCGTTTTGATTAGATGATTAGGCTTTTGTATAAGCAATTGGGTGGTTAGCATGCAATTTCTCCCGATGGGCTCTGCAGAGACGCGATCAAATGACTTCCGGACAATCACTTTTTTCCGCGATTGAGGGAACGAGTGAAGAGGGCGAACTAGCGTTTGTCGAATTCTAACTGGAAGATGATCACAGCCATGCCGAAGAGGAGCAGATCGCATCGTGAAATAATCACAAGTATCTCACTCTTGAGAAGTGTTATTATAACACGTCATAGTGGAGTGAAAAAAATTTATAAGCCACAAGAGAGATACCAAAAATCACTTCATTTTTCCCATATTGCGTTACCCACAGACTGTGCAAAATCACCCACAAAGACAATGTGTAATTAATTCACTCAATGAATGTGCAAGATTCTTATATTTTACCATATAGTGGAGGAGAGACTTTGGAGCCATATTATCACACATCCATTATATAATTGACTTTTACAATAGCGGCAAACGATGAAATTTATCATTTTATAACTTCTTCATCTCAATATCTGCATTAGCGTACAATGGTCTTCTCAAACTCATGCTGGATTCCAGCTCAAGCTCTCCATACTGACGACGACCTCCGATTTATGCAGATGAAATTCAATGAACTTTTCTAATGATGGTGTCTGCCGTTGAGTGCCAATGAGAAGAAAATTCCATCTTCGTGATCTCGTGGAAATTCCATCATTTTCACCCATCTCTCTCTCTCTCTCTCTCTTTCTCTCCATCTCTCATTCGTGCAATTAATCACTTATGTGTATTGCTCTGATCGAGGCGCCGTGCCTCGCATTTGCAGCCTCGTGATCTTGTTAGAATTTGCAGAATTTTCCCTGACCAGCTTATTGGCATGTGATGAATTTCATCTGCCATAAGTACCCTAATTAATTGCTTTATTAGGTGAATTTTCCGAAAGCCACTGCGTCTGAGACTATTTACTTTTACAAGGCTTTACAAGCCTATATTCTTTTATTGTTATTGGAGTGAAAGAAAAAGTCTTTCTTGCTTTGTGCATCTGGGAAATTGCCTGAGGGCCAGTGAATAACTAAAAATGTATTTATCTCGAGAGCACCTTGAAGCCTTCAAGTTTAAATTAGGACCGGAGGTTCTTGGAATATGTGTGATTTTAAACTAAAAAGCAGAAAAACATTCCCACTGATTGTTTTTCTCTCTCTTGGGAAATTTAATAACACTGGCGGTGACAATAAATGATTAAATTAGCGAATGGACAATTGACAAAACTAGAGGACAATTTAGCCCTCGCAAATATTTCGCAATTACTTATCCGGATATTATCTCTTTGCCTCTTGATAATCTCCAAGTGGTTCTTGTATGTTTGCCAGTCATGCAAATTTCATCCACAAAAGTGGGGAAACCCGTGAACTTAGCAAAATTACGCAATTAATTGATGATTTGTTCAAATCAAAACACTGTTTAAATTGCAATAATAACACTTCCCATACTAATGCTAATAAGAAAAACAACATGAAGACCTCATAAAATATCACAAACGGACCATTTCAAACTTGAGTGTCTATTCAAATGAATTATGATATAATGTAATGTATACCATGAGATATTCAACGGTGGCAAATGAATTAAGTGAATATCATTTGATTTGAAAGTTACACCTTTCTCCGGGTGTAAAACTTAATATACTCGAGCACGTGTGGACAATCTTCGAGTTGGGGTGAATTCTCTGTGGTCTTCTTGATTAAAGTTCTACCGGGAAGTCGTAAACTCTCTGCAGATTGTTTTAATATAATTAGCACCTTTGAGCGAACTTGTGGAAGTCGCGAGATTAGTTCTCCTGTTGGTGCATCGAATCGGATGCAAATGAGACGTGGCGATTGATGAAGAATGGCAAAAGGTGTCTTTGGCTGCGCGGTAGAAAGTGGCCGGGCCACGAAGATGCGCCCAGCGGGGGCGGCGAGGTGGCAGAAGCCACTCGACGGCCGATAGATCACCAGCAAAGCGGCGGCAGTGGAAGAAATGGAGAGTGAAAAATGATTCCCAGGGAAAATTGGCGACTTGGCGTTCTCCGGCGAGCGCGCGATCTTGGGAATGAAAGTGAGTGGGGATCCCACGGTGGCCCCACTGCAGAAAGGCGCACAGCCGAGGCGCGTGTGGAGGAGAAGCTTTTCGCCGTTGAACCCATCGTCTGGGGGGATAACTTCTCAGGTCCGTGAGTCTTGATCGCAACTATTGAGCCACACGCTGCTACATTCAAATGTGGATTTCACTCGTGGCCAGACGTGTTCCTCCTCAGTGTGCCGTAGTGGAAAATCAAGAGTCACCAGTGGGTATAGACTAGAAATTTTCCCATCGCTTGTTCACTTGAACAACAATTCCCCGCGCTGGTTTCGTCTCTTTGCAAATTCGATAGAGTGGTGTTTCTCGCGGGAATTCTGTTGTTTAATTCTTGCATTTGTGCTATTACCACCTTTGCGCTGAGCAATTGCAAGAAGTCGTAATTTTCGCGAGAGAGTGAGCAATTTCAAAGTGGCAATCGCGAATTACAATATTCAATTGAACAACCCATAAATTATATCCAACTCGAACTGTGTGCGCCAGGATATAGCAAGGAGGATCGCCGCCTGTGGAATACTTAACACTTACCAGAGAGGAGTCACTCAGCAAGTGGTATTATATGTGCTTCTGAGGACGCTCAGACTCCCTGACACATCTGTTGCCTGGCTGTATCGTGAAATGGTGAGTGGATCTGCTCCGTGAGCCATCCCGTGGGCATATTGAATTGAGATAGACATAAGAAGGGAAAATGTCAAGAGCACAGAGATTAAACGGCGCGATAGTGAAACCTTCCTATTAAAAGTTTAGCCACCAGAACTCCGTTCTTGCGCCGATGGCTTAACATTTTTAATAACGAGCGCGACTCTTGACATTTTCGCATAGCGCAACTTCAAATGATCTTCCCAAGATGGCTTTTGTCTGGCCGCCCAGAAGAAATTGCCGAGCACATCAAATTGCCGTCTGTCGTTTTTGCCCCCTTGCAATCCTTCAATTTTTCTGAAGCACACCTCAAATACACACCGCACTTTCCAGTGCTCCCGCCAAAGAAAGAGAGACACATAACACAAAACAGCGTCGAAAGACTTGTTGAAGATGAGGGAAGGCCGAAGCCACACACACATCTCGTTAGAAATTGTAATCCGGAACTGTGCAATTTAATTTATGAACACTCTTTTTTCGTATACACGCGAATGAACATGAAACATTTGAGAAGAAGAAGTGTTTGTCTTTTCCCACCTCTCGAAGACAAGCATCGCGCGGCCACTTGAGAATCTTCAATTTCGCTATGGGATGTTGAACCGAACTTATGTAATGCAACTTGTTTGTCACATCGATGGCACTTTGGTGCGCGTTTGACCAGCATTTTGCCTCTCGCATAGTTTCATGTTAATTGTCGCATTTCCAAATGAGCTCGAAAACCCGTTTAACGTTACGAGGGAGTCGCGCTGGCAATGGCCTTGTGAACTTCTTGGCAATTCCTTCGATGGTGATTGTTGTCCAACTACCTGAAGACTTTTTCTTCGCGGCGTCATGATAATTCGGCATGTGAATTTCCTGCTTCCCCGTGATCTGTCGAGGAATGATGTGCTGTGGCCAAATGACTCATAAATCGCCATAGCGAGACACTAATGTTGTGCCATGCATCACACTGGAAATGATCCTCTGCCATAAGTTGCGCACATTATGCGGAAAAGTCGTTAGCAAATACTCAAAATTATTGTTGACGTTGACAGAAAATCACAGAAAGTGCGCGAAGTTCAAATGCACAGCATGTGAATTTATGGGCATCGACTGTATCCGTCAATCTCTTGTGTGTACTTTGCATTTAATGCATTCTTTCTGGTGGCTTTTGAGGAAGCGAAATTTCCATAGTAATAACACGAAATGGCCAGTCAGCATCTATTGTCCGACCATCGGGCAAAAGAACAGTCAAATATCATCACGGAGGAACAATATGAATATTTTTGCCATTTCTCCACCCGCGCACTATTGACGCTCAATTCAACAGCGAGTGATCAGCTGATTAAGAGTTGGGCGAGAAGAAAGAGTTCTTCTTTGGCGGATGAAAGTGAAATTTTACCAGCATATCACCTTCATTTCCTACATCAATTGTGCATCAAATTTGCCAATCGCCGTGAGACAATCCCCAATATTCATCCCAAGCCATACAGAGTGTTGGCATTTTCGGCCACTCGGACTCACCACGATTGTCCAAATAGAAAGGGAGATTTCATATTAAGTAATTCAGAGCAGAGCCATTATAATAAAATAAATGATGAGATTCTTTTCGATGGACAATCGGAGAGGCAAAAAGGCCGCGTACAAATTATATAATCGCATCTCTCATTGCGATGTATATAAATTGTTGTGTCCACGAGAGACATGCAGTGTAAAAGGTAAACATTCTAATTTGCGGAAAATTGGTGTGATCGCGCGCAAGATACAGAAAGATCATCTGCTCTGGAAGAGTTTGTGGTGACAGATTTAGGAGTGTGCGTTATTTTCACTGGAAAATCATGTCAAGAGTATTTGCAATGGATAAACAATGCAGTGGCCAGAAGCTAGAGCAAACACGGCAATTTCCTAAGCAATTTAATTCACGGCGTTTGATCTTAATGAATGCAATCATCGTAAAAAGTGTAATACAAGAACTGTTGAATGCAAAGGAGATCAGCAACAGCGCCAAATGGGTGTCATTAGCTCGCACTCTTGGGATCTGCTCTCCTCAGGTGAGATCATGTCACTGCACCACGAAATTCTCCCACGAGGTGTCCCAAGAGCTGTGCAAGACAAAAAGCCAGGAGAGAGAGAGAGATCGCGATCACCCGCGTGCCAATAGAACAACAAGAGTGTGATTAGTGCGATCGTCTCGAGAGATCGCGCAGTTTATCCGGGACTGATCTCATTGCTGCACTTTTCTCACATTACCAGTGCAAAAGTCATCGCGCTCTAGCAATCTCTTACCCTCGATCGCGAATATTGTTCAACAATCAATCACCCAGTCGGAGGGGAAATATTTTGATGAGCGCGCGCGATTGATAGGGCCAGATTGCGCGCTCCTCGCGGAATTTCGAGAGGTGAGATCACCGCTCAAGATCACTTTTGTCCTCCTGCCAGAGAATATGCTGCACATATTGACTTTTCCCACAAGCTTCACGTTCTTGGCGGCGACAAATCGTCGAATTCGTGGCCAAGAGTCACATGAAGTGACCTAATAATTAGTCACAATCTCAATACGCGATCATCCCAATGTTTGAATAATAGAGTCATGATCCTCAAATATTAACCATCTTCATCTGCGCCATGCCAATTGTAACTACTTCACGAATTTGTCGTGTCTCCGCAGTTCCACAGTCGCGATGCCGTAACCGTGTCTCTGTGGCATTTTACGGCTCTTTTTGTCCATCCACGTCTTATCGCAATTAAAAGTAAATCATTTTAGCAGCAATTTTTCTCTCCCTCTCTCTCGTGCTTTGCCAAATTACTGTTTTCCGTAATAACTGTGAGAAAAGGCGCCACAGAGGGGCGGGGAGAGGCATTAAAACTCACTTAAAAACCTTCTGTTTTTTTTCTCTCCCTGTGGACCGCGTGATCCTCCTCCTAAATCACCGTCCGAAAATTTCCTCAGTGCGCCAGACAATAACGAGACAGGCATGAAATTAATGTGACATTTGAATTTTCTTTTGTTGCTGGCAGCGGACAAAAAAGATTTTAGGAGATGATCATTGTTCGGCAAGGTTGTTCACGGGGAAATAAATTTTATTGCAGCAATTTCAGTCATAAAATGGCAACAAATGTACAAAATGATCAGCATGTAAATTTGATCCACTGGTACGTGATCGTATTTGATCATCGCTGTGGCGATCATTAATTCTTTCAATGAATTTCCAAGCGAGTTGCAATATCGAAAATCACGATCTCCCGATGAACTGGCCAACTGGAGAGCAGACAAGCGCTTCACTCTCTCGAAAAATTGGTGCAATTGATGGCGGCCAGCAAATTTTCATGCTGTTGGCCTCTTGGTCACTTTTTTTCCGCATCGCGCGCGATCTTGCATCCAAAAGTGGAGTCAATTGAACAGAAGCGTTCCAGTTGTGCGGAGAAAAAAGTGCGCAGGGAGCAAAAAATGAGTGATCGTATATCGATTGCACATAAGTGGCTGTGCCAGGAGATTGTAATGGGTAATGTGATGAAAATGATCAATAAATTCAAGCGAGAATGATCTCGCCTCAGGCCGAATTGCGATAATAGATCAATTGGAGGCGCACAGCTCATTCATTAAGTTGGGGTGAGGAAAAAAGACGATCACACCGGCAAGAAGATCGGCAATAACTCACTCGTGGGCAATCATAATTGGAACGCATATGCGGCATTTGAAGATCAGGGAATTATTCTGTCCGCAGTCACGATTAATGGTGTGAATTCTGCGAGCGCCGGCAAAAGGTTGCCGGAGATCAATTTGAAATGACAAATTTCCTCACTATGCAGACAATTCAATTCGGGCCGAAATGAAAAGATCATCGCAGTCAATGCAGAAACAGTCCGCGCCTGTCCGCGGATCGAATTTTCACAGCAACAGAAAAGGGGAAAAACGGCGACATGGCGGCCACGAAGAAGGGGAAATTTGTGTTGGATTTGTAATTGTTTAGAGAGATTTGCTGGTGCGATCACCATCGTGAGAAGTTTTTTGAGGCAAAACACCTAGAAAACAGCAACAATGCACACCAAATTGCTGGTTGAGGAGAGAGAAAAAATATCCAACTCTTACTCCCTCGCACTCGCGAGATAAATACTCGATCTCGAGTGTGTTGCTTATCCGCGATGAAAGGAAAAGTGCCTGAGTTCTGGCGGGTGTCTCAACCGCCAAAGGGTTTACAGTCTCTTTTTTCTGTCTCACGTGTAATTAAATCATTTTGTGCCACCCGCGAGCAGTGCGAAGCTCGCGGAATCGCCGCCGTGATCTTTCTCTGGTGATGTGCCAACAGTGCTGGAGATGCGCGGCCGCCAGGGAAAAGAGGTGCATGAAAAATGATGGGTGAGAGATGTGTTGCTATAAAGGGTGACGAAATCAGTGCAATTTTTCTCATATTTTTAATTTTAAATCGCACACACGCCGCAGTCCAGATGTTGGATACACCGAATTATGCCACACTT